TGTGGAATAAGCTTCCTTTGGTGGAAAAACTGCCAGGCCCACACACAGTGCACAGCAGAAAGGGGCAAGAGGGTTGAAGGAGTTCCGAAGATTGGAGTGGCAAGGCTTTGAGGGTGTTCATGATAATATATGGACCAAATCCATTATTTAGCAAATACACTAAATACTTGAAAAAACCTGGAAAGGCATTGTGCATTCTTTCCACCAGTGTACTTCATACAAGTCCATTTAATTAAAGACTACAACTTGCTCAGTCATGATTGTTATCAATGAATAATCGGCAACAGCACATCTTCTATGTACTGAACAGTATGAACAAACATCGTACCAATCATAGTACATATACAGTACCATGAAAGCTTCCCCTTTTTAATCATAAACTTGTTACCCTTAAAGGGAAAATTTCATCCCCAGCATTTGCATGTCTAAGTGTTAAATCTCAAACAGAAAGAAGAGCCCAGGGAACTGTTCCAGTCAAATAGTCTTCCCTGTCTTTAGTGTGTACAGTACTATAGAGAACTCAAGGATAGCAGTTAAATTGGCCTCACTGTGCCCACCAAGGTTTACAGAGAAGTAGATTAACCTGTTTGCCAAAGGGAACTCATTTGTCAACAGCCAATTCAGAAGCTGAATGTGGAAAACAGCAGCGAAATGCCAGTTTTATTGATTGCAGGCAGCGGTCTGAATGATTGAGTCTCTAAAGGGAGACTGATAGTATTTACACTTTGTCAAACAGCTGAATTATAATTCTTGTTTAGTCTGAGATTAAAGAAGTTTACTTTGAGAATGGTGAAGATGGGGCAAAAAATTGTTTTACTTTGCGGTATGAATAGAATTATATTTTTTCATGGTCTTCTTTCTAATTTTGAGAGGGATGCCAGAAGGTATAGTTATACCATTCATCCACTGAGCTCAAGTAAGTTCTGCAAGGGAATTTGTTGGGCTTTTATTTGATGTTTATTCTTGCCTCTTATTGATTGGACTCACATTTTCGGGAATAATGTCAGGAAACCATATAAGAATCTGGAAATGCAGGCCCCTCTATTCTACCTTTTTTCTGCTTTTTACAGGATCTTATTTTCTAAATGTTGTTTTGAGATTTTTAATTTTGTATTACTTTGTGCTTCAGTACTCTGTGAATTTTCTACATCTTACTTTTAAATGTTGTGCTTTGGTTCTTTAAGTTTCACCTTCAATTAGGCCATTGTGATCTTTTTAACTTTGCTAGCTAATCAACTGCAGTCCCAAAATTAAGATGTTAAAGATCTAATTTTTATTCTTATTATTTCATTGATTTTCTGCTCCACTTTGGCTTGCTGTTAAGAATCTGAGCACGTGACCATAAGCAAGGAATAATGAATACTTTCACCCACTCGGTTCAATTAAAATAAGATATCAAAAATTGACATTGACATTCCAAAAGACCAGCTTCATCAGTTTTGCAAGGTGCTCTTCTTCACTTGACATTGGTCTCTCCATGTCTTCATGAATGAGAGAGATGAGAGTTTCAGGTTAGGTCTAATCCAAAAAGAAACAGTGCCCAGGTTCTCTAGTGCCCCCTGCATCCAAAGCTCTGACTGCAGTTTGCTTTTCAACTATCTGATCCTCTTCAAACAATGTCTGCCATCCTCAGGAGCTGTCTGTTTCGCACCCGCCATCCTTCTGCAGAACACTCAAAAGGGGGGATTTTGTTTTTCAGTCATGCTGCTAAAGCTGGCTTTGATGTGCGCTTAGCCGTTTGAGCCCTCATCTCCGGTGGGGTGTAGGGGGGTGGCGCCTTCTAATCGCAGTGGCGCTCCACCACTTCAAAGCACCAGCCTGTTCTCCTCCTCTCTCTGTGTCTCTGCGTGCTGACACTGGGCCCGTTAGAGAAGGGCTGATCTGACAGGGCTGAATCTCTTCATCCTTCAGAGGCAGTAACTGTGATCCAGCTCCTGTCAAGATACTGTACACTTCCCATTAGTCCTCTGTTCAAAATGTCTTTTTTTTCTTCTACATAATCTCCCTTCACTTTGACAATATCCATACATTTTAAATAGTTTTACTTTCTTCATTTCTGGCATGCCTTGGATTTCTATATTAATGGGAAGTGAAATTCAATATATTTTTTTCTTTTCACCTCCAATTTTTTAATGTAATGCCCAGCTCATACTGAGAGCAGTGCTGTATTTCCAACAGCGCAATAGCTCTCCTAGCTGCTCCCTCTGTGCTTGGTAAAGATGTACATTCTCTTTTAATGACAATTATAATGGTGGGAACATTGTGGCCTACATCTTATAGTATGCATAATTGACATTTTAGAAGGAATCCATTATTCAGTAGCTTCTAAAAGGAAGGTAGCTCCATCTCTTATTAGCAGAGATGTACAAAGATTAGCAGATTAATTGTGAGTGGGACTCTGTTAAATCAAAGTCTTGAGTTGTCTTTTTTGTATTTTATAATTTGTTGATCTGCTCTTTTGCTTTTATTACAATTAACATACATTTGTTTTCCATTGTTTTTGATTTATATGTATTTTTTATTATGCATCACATTCAAAGAGAAGGCATTTCAAGTCAGGAACAAACAGACAATGAGAAGGGGTTAGTATGTGATTTTAATGAAAGCAAGCAACATTTGTTTAAAGAAAAAACAAAATAAATAAGTATAACATATTTCCTGTAGCACCCAGGAATCAATAGAATCAGGAAACATCATGGCAGTGTGTGAGAAAGATGTCAGGAACTATGTCTTTCTCTGCAGTGTAGAGGTGAGGCCTGGATGATCAACAAAACACTAACGATCTTTAATATGCCTATATTTGATCTTCAAATGTATTCTTTCACTCCAATATTATTGCTCAGTTATGCTCATTTTTTATTTTACATATTGATCTCTTTTAATTATTATTACTGCCTACTTTTATCATATATTAAAAAACCTCAATCTGAATTTCAAATGTATTTTATTTAACTCACACCTATAGTATGATACTCTGCTGCTTCTGATGAGCTACTGTACATAGACACATTTCCTATGGAAACACAAGTTCATTTCTTAGTGTTAAACACTGTTGCTTCCTCTGGGGAGTTTTTATTGTTGTTGATTGTTTTTCTGTGTTGTTCTGGTTTAAAGAGGCTCAGTTATATTAATTATGCACAATCCTCCACAAAAGATGCAGTAGTTACTGTTGCTTCACAACTGGGTATTACACCCCAGCTCCTGACTAGACAATTTATAGTTTCCCATTAGTGTTTTTGCAAAGAACCTTCAACATATTATTGTAGGAAGTAGCTAATGACACCATTACACAGCCAAAATAGCCCTCTGAGCTGAGCTTGACAATACACTGGTTGATGTTTGGGGGTATCAAATATCCAGCTCAATCAGAGAACAGGGCCTTTGGAGTCTTGCAGTTTTTCTTCCACCTCTGCTTAATTAATTAACTAGACTAATTATTGAATTTAATTGGATCAGTTTAATGTTCTATCAAGTTCTTAGTCAGAGAGATATGGTATTTAACTGTAGGTCCAGCAGGAGAAGCAGAAAACAGTACACTACTGTAGCCTGTGAGTGAAAGCTGCTGTGTTACACAGAGGGCAGAGGAAACCCCTGGCTGGCTACCTTGCTAAGAGGGGAAGATGGGTAGATGCCAGACAAATCAGGGATGTAGTTTGTTAATTGGTAGAATAAGATAATTACAGACTAATTAAAATGTTTCTGAATAAGCACGTGTCATTTCTATGGCATTAATACCTCTTGGTACAATGGAGCGCATGCATTAGCATTTGTAATTAGGGAAACAATGCTCACCATCTTCCAGAAAGAGCAACTGAACAGAAAGAAGAGACAAGGGGGGCATGTGGGTGCTTTGGGGACCTGGAGACTTTCTCTCATGGGACACAGTGATGGGGAGCTGGAGGGCTTTGTTTAAATATTAAAATATTACTAAACTGTGCTATTATCTGGAATACCCACAGGGAAATTTGTGTAGAGATTCCCACATTGTTTGGCTCAGTTAGGCTTTTTTCCTTCCAAAGCTGTTTCATTTTCTCAAGAGGGCAGCTGTGCTTTCAAACCTTTACATGTGCATGCTGGCCTCCAGGGCATGCTGTTGTCAGTCTGGATTGAAAAAAAAAAGGAAGAAACATTTGAAAAGCAGCCCTCACGTCTCTGTGAAACTGTTAAATTTTCAACAGCCAAAGGGTTATTATCCACCGTCATCTTTATTGCTTTTGTTATAAATAAGCTTTTTGTTGTTGAAATACAAACTTTATACAGAAATGAAGGAGATAAAAATTCAAAGCCACAGTTGAGAAACACTTTATAGTATCTTGCAGTATGAGACACATAAGAGAATTGAACAAGTTTAATTTATATACAGTACAGTATAAGCTTTTTCAATGGCAATACAGTTTTTCCTTAACATCCGCTAGCCATATAGCTTCTTGTGTACCCCGTGATAAGAGCTGTGCAAGACCAAGAAGAACATAATAGTCTAGTATTAAATTAAAGAATATTTAGTGTCATCAGCAAAATGTATAATTGTAATCCATTATACTATGAGACAAATCAAGATAAATTATACTGTAAGTGAACTAGGATGGTTTCCCAGTGAGCTAATTTCTACCAAGGGCATAATTAATATGCATTTACCTGGTTTCTTCATATTTTAATATGAAGAACAACACTTGAAATAAAGTGTCCCAAGGAGGAACAGGCACATAGTGTTTTGCTCATGCAAACTACTGACTTGTCAGAAAGATTTACAACTTTTAATCCAGATTTTTTAATATTTTATTACGGAATGATAAATGTTCTCTTACACAGGCCGTGAGCATTTTGCTGGATTAATTTTAAGTGTAAATAGTATTCTAACTGTCCTTGGCAGTCTGATTGGGGTGTTAATTTCTTTGTGTAAAAAGAGTTGATCAAAGATGCACTAAAAACTATGAAGAATTACAGACTTGTTTTCTACTCCCTGTAATTGGTGCCTATTGTATGCTTGTGTTTTTTTACAGAGTTTCCTTTCCGTGCACTGATTGAGTAGGGGGAATGAAGTCTCCCACTTCTCAGTTCTCATCCTGGCTGGTCACTGAATGCAGTAGCTGACAAGGTGGCTACCAATTATGTCTGCAGTGTGTCAACTTACAAGACTTCAGCCAAAGCCCTTCGCTCTCTTCCCAACCTTGACTCTATGGTGCCCTGTTCCTATATCATCTGTAAGAGCAAGCCACAGTCCACAAACATCCTTATTGCATACACTCTTTTGAATTGACAATGTGCTGTTCGACTACCTTATACTTAATTTTCACGTGAGTGTCACATTGTACACGCTATTTAACCAGGTCCCCAGGTCCTCACGCCTTTCCAAGCTAGAACTGCACTCCTCCTCTTGCTCTCCAATCACTTTTGGAACACAAATGCAATTCTTAATATAAATGAGAACCAAGTGGTAGTTTGCTTGCTAGTGAACCTGTAGCTATCCATTTAATATTTAGTGTGTGCTTTTGACCAAGGTGGTTGTCCTTGAAATATGTTTTTTGTTATTCTTTTACAAAAAAAATTAGGCAGATTAAAAATAGTATGTGTTTATGTCATGTGTACAGTACAAATGTTGGAATGATCACACAAACAAAAGAGGCCTAATCTGAACCAAAAATATCCCTCACATCATTGATCCAAATAGGAAGTTCTGGACTCACAACCACATTCCACTGGTGTTTCCCTACCACCCTTACACCCTATTCTATTCCCAGGAGCATCAGTGACAACCTCCTCATCTTACAAGATGATCCTTCCACTGGAGCCCTCTTTCCTGAGCACCCCATCATCTCAAATGGTCAACCACTTAATCTGCGCAACCTTCTTGTCCACAGCTCCCATGCACACCGGGTCCTTTCCCCTGCCACAGAATCTGCTGCATCACCTGCAAGTACATATACAGTATCCAACACATTTAAGGCCCCTCTTGACAATTCTGTGTCACCCAGATGACATCATGTACAGTACTTCTAGCAACTTCATTTACTACATTTCATTCAGAAAATACCCAGCCATTTACTGTACAGGAGGAGACAGGAAGAAGACTGGCAGACCATTTCAGAGATCATGTCAGAGCTGTGAGGATCAAAGATCTCTCCAGATCGATAGTTCCCCATTTCACTTCTGAGAGCCGCAATCTTTCTGATCTCTCCGTCTTTGTCCTCACAGAAGGGTTGCTGGACCCCTATGGCAGAAAGACATTCAAAACCACAATTATCCTTAAACATGATCACACCCCCCTCCCCCCTCCTCTCTCCACAACAGACTCATTTCCTTGTAAATTCTCTCTTCATCTTCTTCATTCATTTGCATCTTTTGGCTTTCTACACCTCTCCTCCTTTTCTCCCTGAGTTTAGACACTCATTCTCATCTGCTTTATACCCATTTCCTCTCTGCTCCCAGTCCCTTGTTAACTACTTTGTCTTTTATTCTACTTTGCCTTATTTTTCTGGTACTTCCCCTTTCTCTCTCACACCTGAAGAAGGCTCCACAGCCAAAAAGATGTGTTTCTTTACCTTGCAGCACAGAATAAACCTTTACCCGTTTACAGCTACCTACTCGAATGTAAAGAAAATGTTAATGTGTTAAGTCCTTGGTGTAATTGTTCTAGCTTTTGGACATGTGCATGAGTCTCAGTTTTATCCTTTGAGACTATAGGAAAAATCATACATCCTTTTTTATATAAATCAACATTCCAATTCAACCCACATTCCCTCAGGTGAACTATTTTCTTGCAGGTGTTTCATATACAGGTGGCTTGCCACAGTTAGGCTTCACCTCGTACTGCCCAAACAAAGAATTTATATATATATATACAGTAGATGCTTTGGTCTACATAGCACTTTTGAAGATACTACTGCAGTTGGTCTGAATTTGGTACAAAAAAAATAAACAAGACACCTTATCGAGCATATAACTTAAGCAATGTTTCACGAATTAACAAAAATCACAATACTGAATATACTGAAAATACTGAAATGGAATACTTTATCAGCTGATTTTTGCCATTTAAGAATTGACCAAACATTATCTAGTTCAAAATCATATTTTGTCTGACTGAGAGCTATTCATACTGCAGTAAAAACAAAGGCATACAGTCCATTCCAAAATGTCATATGTGGGACTGTAATCATAAAACACATTGTATGATGTACAGTATGGTACTGTATATTAGGTACTACAGTATATTCCACTGAATTTCCAAACTAATTTAAATGTTTTAGGCTTTTGGCCTAACCCTGCTATTGAAGAATGTAATGCAAGGCCAGTTTTGATAGTGATTTGGCTTTAAACCTGGTTCACTAATGGAGCCATAGTCATGCTCAGGGGCATAAAGACAAGTCCATTGGAAAAGCACCAGGAGACATAAACTAAGGAGCTGTTGCAAGGATAATTATGGGGTACAGGGAAGGATTCAAAGTCAGAAACATTGAGAAAGAGATGTTTGGTACTGTACCTTTATATTTAGCAGAGTCTACTGTGGGGTTATTTCTTGCACCTCAAACTTTCAATAGAAACATAAATGTAATGTATATAAATAAATAATTCGATTTAAAACGTTTCTTAAATTAGCAAAAATATTTCCATTTATAAATATTGAAAGTAGATTAGTAGATCTTTTAAACTAAACAGAACACCAACAGGTCTACAAGTTCCAAATATTATATTTAAAACAAATGTACCTTTGAAATAATGCATGTTACATTATTTATTTGAACATGTAAATACTAATTTGAAAATCAAGTCAAGAGAATAACATATGCCTTAAACAGTGTCTTATAAGCCTGATTCATTCCAAAAGCTGGACATAATTCAATGCACAGTTGCTGGAAATGTTCAGACAGACCGGCAGGTTTAAGCACCTGATAACTAGTGACCAAGTGACTGAGGGAGCATGTCTCAGAAGAGCCTGTTCTCATCAGCAACACAGCTGAACCCTCCCCCACTCCAGTACATGATGAGAACAGGCCAGGGTGAAGACACATAAATGATGTCTTTAATCCTTACTTGATGGCCTTAAGCACTCAACCTTAGCATTTTAATTATGAGAAAACACCCCCATTCTATCTGCTACAAATTTCAGCATTCTTCGTGCTTGCTTCTTGAGATGGACATTTAGGGTTTAATCTGATCTCATCTGCTGCCAAGCTACTAATTTCACAAAGTAACCCTGTATCGTGTACTACTTATTAAAGCAGATCACCATTCTGTTATAGATCAATATTCAGCATATCCTGTACAGTATGTAGAATTTAATTACACATGGATGCATGGATGACATTAAAAGCCACACAAATTCTAATTCTAAAGCCACTTACAGTAGCTCCAGTTAAGCACATATGAAGACAATATGAACAGTCATAATTATTCTTGGTTCCTAAATTCATAAGGACAAATTTAAATTATTTAAGCTGCATTGTATAATGCCTATGTAACTGGACCAAACCTTTGGACTAAATAATCTATGTTGTTAGTAAATGTTCCTTTGTGCATATCTACAAAACTGTTATGACTAATTTAAAAGTTTTTGTTTGTTATTTATGAAAGTCTGAAAGTAGAACTTCTCAGCTAAATGTATTTTTATTCTGCAAAGAAATAAAAGGATGCTATGACTTTAACTGTTTCTAAACACTTTTGTGCACAGTTGCATTGTTAATTGTTTTGCTTAATTTTAACTCAAAACCAAGAAAAAGCTAAAATAAAAATGTGGTTAAGGAGATTCACTGCATATAAACATACTCAAAGTGAAAGTAATATTAATATAATTCAAATTACTAATTATTGTCCTATAGCCAATGGTTTGGACATAGAATTTGAATTCTGTCCCAAGGGCATTAGATGCTTTGCTTCATTTTTGGTAACAGCAAAATGTTTTCCATGTGTGTTTTATATTTATTCTTTTAGAATTATGATGTATTTGCTAGATCCCATTCTGCATTTAATCTAATAAATATTTATTCCAAAGCTATAATGAACAAGAATGGTTTTTTTTCTTGACTCTATTTGAAACAGACATTCAGACTTGAACTTGTCATATACGGTATCATACACTATTTTTAAGTTACTTTAAGTATGATAAATGTGCAGAAAGTCACAGTTTATAAATATCTAGGCATCTGATTAGATAATGCTTTAACTTTTAAAAGTTTATATTTGGTTTTCTGTATGATGACAAATCATATTGGGCTCATTTTAACTCTTTGATTTTTAGTAATTTCTAAGCCATCTCACAATTTAAGAAATGTTGTGCCATCCAAAAAATATTAGGACAGTGAAATTTACATTTAGATTTGCACTATAAACTATAATAATAATAATAATCATCATCATCGTCATCATCGTCATCATCATTAAATAAAATCAATCTGGTTCTACATTAAATTAAACAAAATGATGTATCGATGTACCTCTTCATCTGGAAGGAGAAAAAGGAATTGGAATAATTTTCTGATTAGTACTTCTTCATGACCAGGTGTTTGCTGTTAGGTAATAAGCTTGTTGAGTGATTAAGCAACAGCTTTGGTTTGAGTGTTTGGAATGTGTTGTTTAACTTCTACTGTAGGTTAATAAAAAAAGGCCATTTTTGAAATTTTTAATGTTTGGAATATGTTCATGGCCTTGACCAAAAATAAAATGCATATTTTATAAATTCATTATATTTCATTGTCTACATTTATCTAATGAGCATATGCAAATAGTTTGGTTAAAAAGCAAAAATAACTGTTTCAACTTAACAAAATAACCGTTTTCCTTGTCATTTTGAAGGGCATTATAGTATTAAATTAAATCTCTTGTTATGCCCCTGACAAGGACTGGAACAACAGGCAGAATAATGTTTTACTTACAGTATGCAAGCAATAATAATATGTGTATTACAGATCACTTTGAATGGTTATTTGTTCTGAACTGACTTATTTTGTTAAATAAAGCATTATTGTGACTATTAATATTATTATGCTGTTGGACAAAATGCTGATATTACAGTAATTGATCATGAAAGATCAATTGAAAAGAAGATTAAAGTGAATTTTCCAGATGGTTTACTCTTGTGTCTTGGCACTACAGAGGGAAATTGTGGTGTAGGGATGAGTGAATTTAAAACTAGGCTATATGGTATCTCCAATTCCAGGATAAGGCTAACTTTGTATTCCTGAGCAATTGAGCTTTATGCATGAGCCTTAAAGAAGAACGTGCCTTGCAGGTTTCAAATGTCTGGTGTTCGCTTTGGGATCACGAGGGTGAAGTAGACTTCTGGAGTTTCAAACAGAGACAATCATTATAGAGAAAATATTGTTAGCTTCTAAATGAAAACACAAGTGTAGTAATATGTATTTTAAATATATGTATAAAGACTTGCACATTTGCCATTGCCTGAGGAGATGTTAGGAAATTAACACCTGTGTATTTGCGGTTCATCGATAATATAAATCTCTGCAGTGGCTAAGGGAAACACAATAAAGAGTGAAACATATATCAAAGTAAATAAATTGTCCATTCTCATTTAATCCAGTTTTTTTTAACTCCCATCACATCTCATCTAAATTAATTGAAGTGCATTAAATGCACTGAGACAAAGTTATAAAAGCTATGGGATTATTCCTGTGAACACGGGGACCATCTGGTGAGCAATATAAAGAGTTTAATAATCCAGACGCACCTTATTTTCTCTCAATAGTACAATTATATTATGTTCCCTTCACAGCACTGAGACAATGATATTATCCCATAGACAAATTACTCAGAACAGCAAATTAGAGGATGTACACTGCAGTTTAAAAGAACACCTCATCTTTTTTAATGCTTAGTTATGTAACCGATTAACATTTAATTATGACATGAATATAAGACCAATGCTTTCACAAGGAATTATCTCATATGTCTCTGACAGTCTATCAGGGTCAGGGATGATTTTCTTCCACTTGAGTTCTATGGGAGCTGCAGTAAGGTGTCCTGTGTAGGATCTAATCTGCTACAGCTGGTATTCCTTTAAGAGCCCTCAGCTGTATAAAGTTGATGGCCTTACTACCCCTCTGACAGGGGCTGCAGTCTCTCCCCTGTGTGGACCATGGAGAGAGAAAGAAGAACAATTCTCTGTAGTGATATGATGGAGGCAGAATCTCCCTCTCCCGTCTTGCACTGAATGCAGTGTGATCGTGCTGTGAGTGGCACGTGTTTGAGAACATGTTCTCTGGGCTCATGTGGAGGGATGGCAGCAGGTCTAAGCAACCTTGCACTACTGAGGTGCAGGAGTGTGTGAGAAGCAGGTTATGTGTGACCATGATCCGTAGGACACTGCCACAGAGGTGGTAGTTTATGACTGGCCATCAGTACACTGGGAGAGAGGAGTGGTGGTGTCCACAGACAGGTATCCCTCAAGAGGGTGGAGATGCATTGTGCCCGAGATGTGGCAGGGCTGGACAACAGGGATGTGAGGACATGCAAACGTGTGAAGTTGTCTGATGTACCTGTGTAAGTTGCAGGTTAGCCGGGAGAAGATGTCAGCTGTCTTGAAATGAATCGATTAACAACCTGCAGCTGAAGGAGCAGCAAGCAGCAGGTGAGACAGAAAAGGAACCTACAGACAGTATATACTAAAAGGGGGAGTGGCGGTACCACATCTACTGTACATATTCTCTCTGTCAGTACAGTGTATCCAAGAATCAGACCGGTCGGATGTGACCAAGGTGTCAGTAGCTACAGAAAGATTTTATAATTTGAGAAGAAAAAGTACAATAATTGAGTGAATGTGGGAGACTTAGAGTTTACATTCAGTGCAAACTCACAACAAGCTCACCCAGTGGGGTAGGGCAATGGTCTATCGCATTGTTCTTCTCTGTTATTCCCATAGGGTAGTTTTTAAAGCTCCTTATCTAATCCAAGACAATTGGAGACCTCTTTGTACCTTAGCCCATAACTTCCTTCACTGCTGTTGAGAATGTAAGAATAGCTTATTCTGCTGTTGCAGGAATTCTAACATGAACAAGATATAATCAGGTCTTTTGACAATCCTCCAAGGCCAACATAGCAACCCAGGGCTATGGACCTTGCCGTACTCCAACTTGTTATGCAACCCACAATGCATAGTAAATCCAATATACAGGTTTAACAGTGGATAAGGGATTGGACTTTTGGAACACGTCTTGGTGATAGAAACCATCTCATGATAGCCTTCTCAGTTGCTGTGTTTCCAATTCAGCATTTTAAACTTTTAAAATTGATAGCAAGGACAAGGCTACTCAATCCTTTTCTACTCTGGATTGTTCTTGTCATAACTAACCATGCAGAGTGTGTTACACTGCAGTTACACCCATTGAAATTCCAAGTTTGTGTTTAATAATGGTGCTTCCTGATTTGGGCCTTTACTGAGGTTAATGCTTTTTATGGAAGACACTGGCTTCTGGTCCATAAGTTCTTCTCCTTAATGCTGTTTGACAGTCATAAGTCAGAGTCAGACAGATTATGCTCATAAATATGTAAAATCCCTGGTTAAATATTTAGGGATTCATGAAATTCCTAGTTTCATATTCTTAAATGTAACATATCTACAATATACAAAATTCGGTCGAAAGAGAAGTGCTCTTTCATCATGGAAAACAAGCACTTTCAATATTTCATGTTTGACAATTTCTTTGGGGAAAAAAAACTAAAGGCAATGTTTCAAGAAACTTTTCTGGTTATGTCCTTGGAATTTTACTTATGCTTGAAATAGATTTCTATCTTTGGTACAGAGAAGAATGTGTTTCCATAAGGTTCTGTTAAGTTTATTGCTCTTCTTCAAACCATCTTTTGTGTTATTACAAGCCATTGCCATCGATTCCCAAGAGCAATAACTCCAATTCTGATTGTACATGTCCTTGAGTAGTTATTATAAAAGGATTTAGCTATTCTCTCAGGACAACAAATGCTAACAGTCTTCCTTTTCCAATTGGCTGATGGCAGAAATCAGTAATTACAGGTAACTATCCGTCTTGTTTCTCATATCTAACAGCTCAGCAATTCACAAATGTACATACAGTATATTATTTGGTTACCTTGTGGTGAAGGTAGAGAGGGGTGTGGTACTATTAACACTTTTTCAAATCCCTGAGTTAGTATTGATTGTGCACAAAAAGGCACCAGGGCAATTCTCTTTAAGGAGTTTCAGTGTGGTTAGACTGCATTTTGTGAGTTGCTAGTTCAGTCTAATAGGATCCCATATTGGTAAATGTTTAAAAATATCATATTCACTTTCACATTGTTTCTCTTCAACCTTTGAAATATATTGAAATATTATGTTTCTACCAATAAGGTAAGGGCGATTAAGTAGAAACACAAACCTGAAGCTGCTGAATTTGTCAGCATTCTTAAATATTCAATGTAAGCAGATTATGTTTAGATCAAGACATTGTGTATTTTATTAATTCATAGGCATTAACAAATTGTACACCAATTGCAATTCAGTAAATTAAAGTTAATAAAAAATCCTGGTCCTACTATTACTTTATTTTGTTTGAATGGATTAGCTAACAAAGACTTAAAATGACTTAGGTTCTTAATCAGCCACTTTTGTAAAATATGTAAAAATATATATATATTTTCTAAGGAATTACATGAATTTTCAGAAAGAGGTATCCCATACCTCTTGAAAACTGTGAGGTTTGTTTTTCTATTATTAGGAATGTTAATAAAAATAACAATGGGGACTTCACAAGAGCCACTGTACTGTATATTGTGAATAGCAAAAGCAGACCTGGCAAATGCTGGTAACCTCAATGGTTTGCAGGCTGTAAAAGCTACAAGACCACTACCTACACCTCTTAAAGTTGTTCAGAAATTTACTGAATAATTCAATGCCTCTGTGGGAAGTGTGGTTCTGCCCCTACCATTAATATGATTGTGTTTCATGGGTAAATCTATCTTCAAGGTCATGCAGGGCCATGCCCCAGACACATACTGTAACAGTTCTTCTACACTGGAAAGATAGTCCAC